TCCTGTAGCAGATATGTTGTTTTGGTCCTCAGTTTGTTTCCATAGATCTATCTGTATACGCCCTCTTCATCTGACTGTTTTATCCTCTCAATTTTGAACACTTGTTTTATTGACCTCACCTTCTTACTAAAGTGTTCTGTAACCAGAAGCGATTATGAAGAGTTCCTTCTCTCCACATATTTTTTTTAGGCAGGGCTCTTTGTCTACCTTCTGTAAGTTTTTTTGTTGTTGTACTCTTTGTTTATATTGTCTTATTATTTTGTTTGATGTTCCAAATTGTATTCTCTGGGAAGCAGACTCTGAGATTTGGGGAAGTATTTGAGGAGCACTCTTGGGATTCATTTCTTTAGTGACGGGTGGGAAGCAGGGTTAGGCAGAGGGAGAGATTGGGCTATGTTGTGCTCACAACAAAGCCTGATCCCAGAGTCTCTTGACAGAGTTGTTCTGAGTTGGGGTGAGAGGTCTTAGCCCTTCTACCCCAGCAGAGACCAGCATTTGGAAAGCAAGTTGCTCTCAGAGAGGGAGTATGCTATTGGCAAGGCAGCTCTCTTCAGCTGAGGATGCTTTTGGGCACCTGGGGAATGAGTGCTCAGTCCAGAAGCGGGTATCTGGGTGGCACAACCCAGCATCCATCACTAGAGTTAATTTTATTCTCACAGTGTTCATGTGTTTATTCTGTTTTCTCTGTTAAGATAAGCTGATTTTTCATTTTTTTCTTGCCTGTCTGAAATAGGTGTCTCCATAGGACAGGCAGGTCAAGGGCTGAGGTGTTTTTTTAAAATTTCCCCCCTTTTTTAGTAGCCTTGAGAGAATGACTGGGAGCCAGTAGAAGGTTAGACAGTGAGTGAGCCCAGTGAGATGTTGATCTACCTTCTTAAGGATAGTATGAAATAGGGGCCAGGAATTATCCAGATTACCCAGTGCCATTTGTGAAATGGCATCTCTTTCCCCATTGCTCTGCACTGTCACTTTTGTCACAAATCAGGTATCTGTATATATGTGTATCTGTCCCCATCTCTGGTCTCTTCCATTACCCTATTGTCCAAATACCATACTACCTCATTTATTTTAAGTTTACAATGATGCTGACATCCAGTAGAGTAATTTCTCTGGCTTCATTGTTCTTAGAGATTATCTTGGGTAATCGTAGGAGACTGTTCTGTGTGGCGTGGGCCCAGCTCCCACTCAGAGATCTACAGGACCCAGGCCCACAGATAGGTTCTCTCATGGGGAATCAGGCCTGCAATGTGCCCAGGCCACTTTGAGTTTTGCTCTTGCTAAAAAACTCCCTCACCCTGAATTGAGGACATTTACTGCAAAGTAACTTCCTAAAATCCATGCTAAACTTTCCTAGGATGAGTGTAACCGGTTCAACCACTTTTGCCTTTTCATTTGCAAATATTCCTCTTCTGTGATGTGATTAGCGGCATTGGCTCCTTTGTTTTCTGTCAAAGGTAACCACCTAAAGCGAACCTGTGTATAGTAAATGAGGACCATCATGTAAGGTGCTGGGAGATAGAAATAAAGGCCTGTCATGGCGGAGGCCACGGCTTTTGCTCCTCTTGAGAGAAAAGCCATGCTGTCCCTTTTCCTCCACCGGACTCGGTAGTCTGTGTGAATGTCTCATTTCACCCATAATGATGTGGACAATACGGGCCAGTGTCTGCATCAGGTAATTTTTGTTCGTTGCCTTCTATTCAGTTTTAGGATCAGCTTGTCAGTTTCCACAAAACACCTGCTGATGTTTTTACAGAGATTGCATTGATTTTATAGCTCCATTTGAGTATAATGGACAATATTGGGTTTCCAATCTATAAACTTTATTTAGGGCTTCTTTAATTTTTTAAATATTGACTTATAGTTTTCTTTGTAGATGTGTTTCTTGGAAATCTCTTACTGGATTTGTACTTGGTTATAGTATTAATAACAAAATGAAACAAACAATAAATGAATCACTATGTAGCCATCACCCAGTTTCAACCACTTTGTTACATTTATGTCCCTCTGTTACTTAATCCCACCATATTCCCCCAAAGTATTTTGAAGCAAATTTAAAATATGTCACTATAGGCATTTCACTATGTAATGCTAAAAGATAAGAAGGACTATTTAGTTTAAAAAAAATAAACATGACCCAGCCCTGGCTGGTGTGGTTCAGTGGATTTAACACTGGCCTGTGAACCAAAGTGTTGAGGGTTTGATTCCCAGTCAGGGGACATGCCTGGGTTTTGGGCCAGGTCCCCAGTAGGGGGCTCGTGAAAGGCAATCACACATTGATGTTTCTCTTTCTTTCTCCCTCCAGTCTCCTCTCTCTGAAAATAAATAAATAAGTAAAATCTTTTAAAAAATAAACATGACCCAGAGTGACAAGGTGATGGCTCCTGAGCACAGCCCTGAAGCCGTGGGACCTAACATTGTCCCGTTCCCCCCACTATGGATGGCCGAGAGCAACTCAGACACCCGGACAGTGCTGTGAAAGAAGGGACCCCGGTCGCGCAGGCCCAGTCCAAGCAGACCATCTTAGCAGCTCACACATGAGATGTGGAGAATTCCAAGAAGTGGGCTGCTGGCCAGAACAAGCAGCATTCATGTTACAGAACAGACTGAGGGGAAGGGGCAATTATTGGCCCACCCAGGGATGCCAAAAACTGTTACAGAACAGAGGGACCAAGGGGGGTACACTGATATACTATTACTGAAAGGAACCCCCCAGGTTCGTTATGTCCACCGCCTTATAGGAGAGACATCTCTCAATGCCAGAGATTTGTGAAAAGGAAAGGAAATGTTTATTTAAAGCTATACAGACTTAAAGTAGTGTCCTAATGTCATCATTAAAATAGCAAAGTCCTTTTTGGATATCCACAGATGCCCACAGTGCTTCCTTCTCCCCCTGCCCTAATTTGGGGTACCATATCTCAGGAAAAGAATCAAATGTCCATGTTTCAGGTCGCTGGCACCATCAGCTGTGTCACCGTCCAGGCAGGACCTCCAATTAACCCAAGGCCATGTGGCACCTTCTCGTGGCCTACTGGCAAGAGTTCTTTCACCCTTCTTCCAGGCAAGGTCTCTCCTGCTTCCCAGGCCACATGGTCAAAGGCAGCAACCCAAAGCCTCGTGGTCCTCTTCTACCAGAGCTGCAGGGGTCTACACTCTGGCAAAACCATGTGGATCTCTCCGCAAAGCTGTGGGAAGGGGGCTTACCACTCTGACCAAAGCTGAGTGGTGGTTCTCTGCTAAAGCCGCATGGGGGTTTCCCCTACTAAAGCTGTGGGGGTCCCCACTGTGGTTCTCCCATGGAACTACATGGCTCTCCCTCTAATGGCTGCCGCGTCTGGGTTTAAATCCCCACGCCATTCCTCCTCTGCAGCCCCATTTCTGACTCCTCCCACACTTGCCAGCTACACTTGCCAGCACTCTCATATCCTTCCAGCTTTCCTGGGCTGCCATAGTGGGTCTGGGCAGGTGTGGCCCCATGGCATGGAGCCAATCTTCTCCAAGCTTTCACGCAGGCGCTGTAGCTTAGAAGACCTGCCCCTGAGTGGGTGGAAATCACTCCCTTCTCCCTGGCTCAAAGCATGGCCACAGCTATTTAACATATCTATGTAACCAGTTAAAGGTTATAGATATGCTAAATGACCATGCCAGAGGTTGGCTGCAAAGCTGTTGCTATGCAAAACAGCCCTGCATGTTCCTGCTCCATGTGTCCCTTCCCCCAACTCAAACCTGCGGGGGGGGGTGGGGGGTGGGGGGGGAGTGGTGGGGGAGGGAAGGGGTGAGAACATCCTAATATTTCCTGGACACCTTGAGTTCTGGACCCCATTCCAAATCCCTATTTGGGGCCCTTCTCTTGGCTGCACCCTGTTATATTCAGTCACCAAGAACACAGCCGAGCTGGACCGGGGAAATGCTGAAGATGGGCAAAGTGATCCAGTAGGCTCAGACCGGCAGAGCAAGGGACTGACGCAGAACACCTGGTGACAGAAATCAACACAAATTCACAGGTCATTGTAGACTACGAGAGTGGACAGGCCAGTCCTATCAGGTTCTGGGCAGAATTGAGAGCCATCAGCCTCAAGCTCTGGGAGGACATTGGGATGCTGATGAAAAGGGGCCAAGGGCAAAATAAGTACGAAGCCTTGAAATCAGGGCATTCCAGCTGGTCTGGCCTGCCTGGCTACCCTAGACCACTGGCGCCATCGTGGGTCTCTTTACATGGCCGAGTGTGATACTGGGTGTCAGCTCTGCCTGCCAACCCCCCTCCACCCAAACCTGCTTTCAAACATAACTTTGCATACTGTTTGCTTCTGCTGATTGTTTTTCATCCCTACCCCCATCCTCAAATTAGGGTGCAAAACATCATCCTCTTCCACAGTGTCAGCCCACTTGTGGGTGTGGCTCCTGGGGGAGCTACCTGCTAGCCCCTCACAGGGGGGAGAGAGAGAGAGATGATGGTGCTTCCAGTCCAGGGTGTTTGCTGCCCTTCAAACAAAACAAAAAAAAAAAACAGAACAAAACACTACCCAATATCATTTTATACCTAAAAATGTAAAAATAATTCCTTTTACCATAAAATGTCCAGTTAGTGTTTGTTGGTTTTTTGGTGCTAGTGTAAATGTCTTTAAAATTTTCTTTTCCCTTATGTCTTTCTGGTATATAGATATTTTTATATGTTTGTCTTGTATCCAGTATTTTGCTAAAGTTATTTATTCTAGTAATTTATCCCCAGATTATTTTGGCTTCCTATATACACAGTCATGTTTATCGATATGACAGTCCATCTCTGAGGACAATAAAATTTCCCAGGTTTAGCAACCATCCGTTTAAAAAGTGAAAGAAATAAACAGATGAAAAATGAACAAGTTTGATGTTAAGATGTCATCATCTAAGATGAAAAAAATTGGAGACTTTTTAGTAACTGTGTCACTACGTATTATACTATAGACTGTCTTCAAATTTTTAGGAATTGCTAAAATTATTTATTATTCTATGTTTTTTTGTAGTTTCCCATCACCAATTGTTCTTGGAGTTGGTCAGGTAAGTGAAAAAAAAATCAACCTCTTAATTAGTCAGTATGCATGAAATTTTAAGTGCTTTTGTTTAAGATTGTGGTTTACAAACTTATTCATGTAGTCTTGGTACTCTTGATGAAACAATGAAATAACACATTTTATTTAATTTTACAATTTAGGAAGAGTGTGTATTTGTAGGGAAAACAAGTACTTATTTTAATTTCTTTAATGGAATTTAATTACCCTAAGCTAAGCGGCTAGAAGACTGAAAGCCTCCATGGTCTGTTGGACGACAGAGGAATGGGTTGGGGGCTGGGGTGGGGCCCAAGAGCATAGCTGCCCCTTTTAGGTGTGCACTTGCGACTCCACTTAAGCCACTGTGCTGGAGAGGAAAAGGGTAGGGGAGATGAGGGAAGGCCCAGTAGGCCCTTATTATCAGAACTCCAGAGGTTTTTTTAAGAGAAGCAAGGAATTTAAAAATTTTACATCAGATTTCCCAATTTGTTTTTCTTTTTTGATGAGCAGGTTTATTTGGAAATTTAGTCAACATACATAACTGACCTAGAAACTTCAATAGAAGGATAAATTTAAAACACTTGGAAGGCCATCTCTATAAAGTGATTTTCCCAGGACCATACCATAGGTAACCTAACTGAACACCATGTTAACCAGCAGAGGATCAGTAAGCTGCAGCCACATGCCCCACCCCCACAGCAAGTTTACACTGAGGGTTGTAACACAAACTCCACGGGGAAAGGACTCAGGTGTTGTTTCCTCTTGGTAGAGGGAGAAGAACTCAATCTAGTTATGAAACCAACCACAAAACAAAAAAGCTGAACTAGTTCAATGTTAGTAACAGATGATGCTGGTGTGAATAATTTGTACTATATTCTAGAGCTCTTATAAATAAAATCCCTCTGATAGTTTGCATTATCAGCTAGAGGTTTAGTTAACATGTGGTAGAATGAGGACTTATGCAAGGCATTGATCTGCAAAGCATTTTACTGCTATGAAACAAGTGCAGCGTAGTCAGAGGAGAAAACCAACTGGACCCTAAATTACATATGCCTAATGACAAGACTCCCCACATGTGAATGTAAAATATTTAATTTAAAAATATTGACAGTACAGTATATAAAATAGATTTCCCAGTTTGTAAATGCTGGCAATGGATTCCAGTTTTTATAAAACTCTGTGGGCCAGATGGAAAATGTTTGTTTCCTGTGGTTTGTGGTTTTTGTTCTCAGGTATAAAGTTGAGCTTGGAAAAACTTTCAGACTAATCTGTTTGGCTGTTTCCCATTAATGTGAATTTGTGGCTTGTTTATATTTTTTGGTTACATGCTGGTGATTTCTAGTTGACAAGTGGTAACAGGTATTAGATTTTTTTTCCTGATTTGCTTTAATTTATAGGGAAAAAATTAAAGTTATGAAAATCATATCTTAACAAAATGTCTAATTGTGAATCTAGAAAAAGCTGTCATTTATATGATTATACAGTCTGGTTAAATGTTTTGCTAAAAGGGTACTCTTTGCAACATCATGTTAGGGAGAAAAAATAACAAGGAAACAATATATTTCCCTAAGTCAAAAAAATATGTTATCTTTATGTTTTAATGTGAAATATGTGGAAAAAAGTCATTTTAAAAAGTCAGTGAATATGTGATAATATGCCCTTTGTACAACCTAAGACAAATAAAATCCCAGGCTGTACTCAGCAAAGGTAAACTCTTTTTGATTTGTAATTTGTTGGTGGAAGGAGCCAGCAGACCTAATTTTAAAAGTTTGAATTGCAGAATATTTTAAGTAAGTGTTAGTATATTTCTGTAAGAACTATAAAGTAAGTTATAAATATAAACCATAATTATAATTCAGCATGGGTTGGTTTAGTTGTATAAATCTATTATGGGTATTATTAAGTTTATAAACTCAAGGATCAAGGTTTAGGATTATAATCGTATTGAAGGAGTGTTAAATTTTTGCATCCTAATATGAAGAAAATTGAGAAAGTTCTAAAATTTGCATAAGAAAATGATATTAAAATTTATATTTGATAACAATAATCTGGAGTATTACTAATATACCTGGTGTGCTCCAGGATAATAGGATTTGAATGAGACATTTTTGCAAATACTGGAGACATTGGAGAAAATATAAATCCCTTTTAAAATTTATTTTTTTCTTAATTTGCCTTCTGTATTATAGAAGTACTGGACTTTACCCTAAAGTGGTTTATGTGTGGAGTGTGTCCCCCTTCTCCGATCCCCATACTCACTTTATGGGAGAAGGTGACCACATGCTTAGTACATGGAGAATGAGGTCCAGGATTGAGGGTCCTCACTGACTGTAGTTACTCTGGTCAGTTTTGGGGACACCGTTCCTGTTTCCCCTTTGTCACCATTTCTTAGGTCCCTCAAGATAAAGGGTATGTGTGAGTCTATTTGATGTTATACTTTTTTGCCTGTATGTCAGCTGAAATTCATACAGTGGCAAGAAAATAAATTTTAATATTATAAGAAATAGTTAATTTTTCTTGTAATCTAGAAAATGATTTTTTGGTATATATTTCTTTTTTATGAATCTGTTTTCTTCTGATGTCTTTGTACCTCAAACAGTCCAGATATTTTGCTGAAGTTTCTTTTCCCCCTTTCCTTTAGATGGCAGCTACCATAATGATACTGTATGTGTCCAAGCTAAATAAAATAATTCACTTCCCTGATTTTGACAAGAAAATTCCTGTAAAGGTATGTGATAACAAGTGCATACGGCTATAATGGAAGATGTGAAAATGTTATGGAATTTACAAATTGATCTTACAGTACAGGTCCATTTCTGTATACACTGTGATTCCTGCCTGCACTGGGTAGAAACATTATAAATAGTTAAAAATTATGAATATGATCATACATAGGGAAGAAGGCATCATGTGTGAATGTATAGTTGAATAAGTAATCATTACCTAGGTCATAAAATGGGATCACAAAACCCTCCTCACCAAATTCTTTTGTAATAATAATTTCCTTGCTTTTCCATAATTTTTTGAAGTTTTTATGAATCCCTGATTTTTTGCAGTTTAGTTTTGCTTAGTTTTGAACATTATGTAAATGGAATTAAACTGTGTATTCTTTTGTATCTGCTACTTTCACTTAATATTATAACAGTAAGATTCATCTATGTTGTATGTAGGTGTATTCTTTTATTATCTGCTTTACTATGTAAGGTAATTTGGTTTCTAGTTTGGCAGCTAGAAAAATTAAAAGCACTGTTTTGAACATACTTACAGTTGGATCTTGTCCAGCATTCCCATAACAAAATACCACAGACTAGGTGGCTTCAACAGCAGAAATTTTTCTCACAGTTCTGGAGGCAGGAAGCTCAAGGTCAAGGTGTGAGCAGAGTTGGTTTCTGGTGAGAGTTCTGTCCTTGGCTTGTAGGTAGCTGCCATCGTGCTGTGTCCTCACACGGCCTTTACTCTGTGTGCCTCTACTCCTGGTGTCTTCCTTTTATAAGGACCCTGGTCCTTTTGGATTAGGGGTGCACTCTTATGACCTCATTTAACCTCACTTACCTCCTTTTAATGTCCTATCTTCAAGTACAATGATCTGGGAATTAGGGATTCAAAATGTGAAGTTTGAAGGCACACAATTTAGTCCAAAACAGCACATGCGTATAAATTTCTCTTGGGGGGTGTATCAAGACATGGAGCTGCTGACTCCTATGTATGTCTTCACCTTGAGTGGGTACTGTCAAATTGTCCTCCAAAGTGGTTGTTACCAGTTCACTCATGACAGAAGTACACTCCTGTTGCTCCTTATTCTTGCCTCCATCATTTTAAAATGTGCTAATATGGTAGGTGTATAATAACATCTTCTTAGCTTTTATTTGCATTTCTCTATTTATTAATTTATTTCATTTATTTCTCTAGTTACTTATTTTTAATCCTCACCTGAGGATATTTTTATTGATTTGAGAAAGAGAGGAAGAGAGAAAGAGAGAGAAACATAGATGTGGAAGAGAAACATATATTAGTTGCCACCTGCATGCACACTGACCAGGAATCAAACCCACAACCTAGGTATGTCCTCTGGCTGAGAATTGAACCTGCAACCCTTTGGTGCATGAGACGGTGCCCCAACCAACTGAGCCACCCATCCAGGGCCCTTTTCACTCTTTTAAAAAATATTTTATTTATTTTTAGAGAAAAAGAAAGAGAGGAAGAGAGGGAGAGAAACATTGATGTGCGAGAGAAACATTGAACCGTTGCCTCTGGCACACGTTCCCATTCAGGGACCTGGCCCACAACCAGGCATATGCCCTTACTGGGAATCGAACCAGTGTCCTTTCTGTTTGTGGGACAATGCCCATCCCACTGAGCCACAACAGCCGGGGGCCCTTTTCATTTTTTAATGTCCATTTGGATATCCTTTTTTGTGAAGTGCTTGTTCAAGACTTTTGCCCATTTTTCTATTGAGTTGAAGTCTTTTTCTTACTGATTTGTGTAGGAGTTGTAAAAAAATATTTTAATGATAGTCCTTTTGTTACTTATGTACAGTATTACAAGTACATTTTTTCTCTTTGTGGCGTATCTTATTTTCATTATGATGTATTCCTTATTGTGTAAAGGAATCTTAATTTTAAAATCGCTAATTTTATCAGTGTTTTCCTTTATTATTAATCTCTTTTTTCTTATTTAGATAATTCTACTGTGAGGCAGTAAAGATATTTTTCTAGATAAATAGTATATAGATTTTCAGAATTAGGTTTTTAATCTGATTGGAGCTGAGTTTTGTGGATGGTGTGAGGTAATAGTCCAATTTTATTTTTTTCCTAAGTGGGCACTCAGTTGTCACAGACTCAACTGAAAAATCTGTCCTTAATATTGTGCCATTGTCATCCACATGCACGAGTCTGTTTCTGGGCTCTGTCTGCTTTTTCATTTGTCTATTTGTGTTTTCTGCACCATCACCATACAATCTTAATTTCTATAGTTGTAGGAAATGTCTTGTTATCTGATAGTGTTGCAGAATGGACCTGTGGTGGGGGGGACAAGATACTGTTACTGAATGGGACCCCTCCCCTGGGGTCCCTCTGCACTAGGTTCTCCTTGCCCATCACCCTTAGGAACTATGACTCTCAATGCCAGAATTTGGTAAAAAGGAAAGTAACTATTTATTCAAAAGTCATACAGGTTTAGGATAATGACAGAATGTCACTGTTAAAAATCCCAAAGTCCCTTAAAACACCCACAAATACACATAATCCTTCCTTCCCCCCTTTACCCAACCAGGCCAGTAAGGGCTTCCATTTCTCAGTAAAAAATAGAAGTCCATGGCTCAGCTAGACTCTTCGTCCTTCCCAGTAATCCGTGCTCGGCTGCCAGGCCTCCCTCGTTTCCCAGCACCATCAGCTGTGTTTCCACGATCTCCAGTTCTTCCTCCAAAACCACATGGCACCTTCTCATGGCCCACCAGCAAGAGTCCTTTCACCCCTTTCCTTCCCTCATTGTCTCTTCTGCATTCTTCCAAATTACTAAGGGAGAGCTCTGCATGGCTGCTATACCTTGCTTTTCTCCTTCCTAAACCTCGTGGTAAAGAGAGCCCCAAAACCACATAGTTAGAAGCCACATGGCTGCCACGCCTGGGTTTAAATCCCAGAGTGAATCTTCATCTGCATCCCTGTTTCTGAGTCCTCCCACAGTCGGCTACACCTGCCAGCACTCCCACAGTTTTCAGCCTTTCTGGGCTATCAGCCTTTCTGGGCTATCGAAGTTAATCTGGGCAGGTGCGGCCCCAGTGGTGAGAGAGAACCATCTCCAAGCCCTGATGCAGGTGCTGTAAGGGGGAACTGCCTCCCAATTACATCCTGGATCCAAGTCATGCCCATCTCCCTGGGTCAAAGCTGCACCACAGCTACTTAACATGTCTGTGAAGCTAGCCAGCCATTATAGATATACAAAATAACCATTTTTGCATATCAGTTGTGAAGTTGGCCAACTGTTGATATGGAAAATAACTCTCAAAGGCCACGCTCCATGTGTCCCATCCCCCAGTCAAGACTTGTGGGGGTGGGGATATCATATATTTTCATAATTTCATGGACACCTGAGTTCTGGACCTGTTACAAACCCCTCTTTTTGGGGGGGCCCTGGCTGCACCCCATTACAGTAGAACAAGTCTTTCCTTCCTTGTTCTTAGTCTTTCACATTTCTATATAAATATTGGAAGCAGCTTGTCAGGCTTCAGAAAAATAGCCTTTTGGGATTTTGATTGGGATTGCATAGAAGTTATAAGTCAGTTTGGAATGCATTGACATTTTTAAAGTATTGAATCTTTCAGTGCATGAACATAATATATATACACCTTCTTAGTAAAATTTAATAGTTTTCTTTGTAGAGTTCTAATGTTTTTGTTAGATTTATTCTAGAGGTACTTCATTTTATCTCATTTTTTTGCTATGAATATATCTTTTAAGAATACATTATTTGGGAAATATTAGAGGGCATGTTTTTATATCACTTTTATATTGCAAAAGTGCAACCTATTAATCACAATTTATTTGTAGTTTCTTTTGGAAATTTCTACATTCATAATCAAGTAATCTGTAAAAAGTGACAATTTTGTTTCATTGTTTTCAACATTCTCACTTTTATTTCTTTTATTTGCTTTATCTATAACATAAGACCTCTAATGCAGGGTTGATAGAAATGGTAATACCGGGCATCTTTGATGTCAGAGGAAAAGCTTTTAACAGTTCACCATTTACTAAGGTTTTTGGGGTTTGTTTTTTTAAAGGTTTATTTATTTTTAGAGAGAGGGGAAGTGAGGGAGAAAGAAAGGGAGGGACCATTGATATGTGAGAGAAACATCAGTGGGTTGCCTGTTGCAACCCCCAACAGGGGTCCTGACTGGAATTGAACCTGCAGCCTTTTGGTTTGTGGGATGATGCCCAGCCCACTGAGCCACACTTGTCAGGGTTGCTGTTGGTTTTTTGTAGACACCTTTTATCTGTGATATCTTTTGCTGCATAACTTAACTTAGTGACTGAAAACAATAATCATTAACTGACTGGTATGGCTCAGGTGGTTGGGCGTCCTTCCGCAAAGCTCTGGATCGCTGGTTCCATTCCTGGTTGGGGCACATGCCTAGGTATTGGGTTCCGTCCCCAGTCATCTGGGGTGTGAACAGGAGGCTGCTGATCGATGTTTCTCTCCCTCTCTTGCCTTCTCTTTCAAAATATGTAAATGGAAAAAAACAACAACAACCCAGTAATCATTTAATTATTTCTCAGTTACTGTGGTTAAGGAATTCAGGAAGGTCTCAAGTGGGCAGTTCTGGCTAGAGTCCCTTATCGTTGCAGACAGATGATGTCAGAGCTGAAATAATGATGGGGGTGGGGTTGGTTACTGCAGCTGGGGGCTGGTTGTATATCTCCCTCTTCTGATAAGCTCAGGCCTCTCCATGTGGTCACCCATCTAGACTAGTTTGGGCATTTTTACAGATGGCAAGCTCAGGTAGTCATCATAATTGTTACATGCTGGCTGAAGTCTTCAAGGGTGAGAGTATTCCAGCAAGGAGGTGCCAAACTGCGTTGCTCTTTATGACCTAGCCTTAGAGGTCACATAGCATCATTGCATTTGTACATTATTTGTTAAATAGCCCTGCCCAATTTTAAGAGGAAGGGATGTAGACCCTCCCTCTGGATGGTGGGAAGTGTCAAAGTCACATTTTAAGAGCATGTGGAAAGGGAGATATTGTTACAATCATCATCTCTGTTTGTAGATTTGTTTATTTCTCTCAGTATTTCTGCCAGGCGTTTTGTTTTGTTTTTATTTTGAGGCTGTATCTTTACGTGCCAAAAAATTTACCTAGTTAAATGTTTCTGGTGATGTAAAGTGTTTAATTACATGAGCTGGATCACTTCTGTTTCAGTGCTTTTAGTGTTACCCTGGAAATTACAACAGGCATAACTAACTTATCATACTAAAGGTGATTAATACATGTACCCTGCCCCTCAACAGTACCAGGCCTTTCACCCATTTATCTCTCCTCACAGTTTACGTGCTTTTGTCAGCAGATACTTTAATATATACTCTACCTTTATTTATATTTCACAATATACTTTATTTTCTTTTTAAAAAATCTACCAATGTTTATTCATATTGTCAGCATAACAGTCAAACCTTTAGAGAATTTTTGTGAGTTTATTTGAGTCAAAGTGATGACAGTTGCTGGGAAGCAGAACCTCAGGAGAATGGCAGTCTTGCACTTTATTTTTTACATTACAAGTAAAAGAGGAGGTATAAGTGGGTTACCTGAAATCTACCGGTGATTAGGGAGGAGGGAGGAAGCAAAGTGGGGAAACCCCTGGGATTGGATAAAAAGTAAAATGATAGACACATCTTTTACACAGGTGGGTACAGGATAGTTAATAGTCAACAATTAACATGATAACAGTAACAATGAGGGGATCTGTGGTCTCCCCCTGGTGCAGTGCCTGTGCTTTGAGGGGTCCAGAAAAAGGAAACTTGACATTGCAAATGTATGCTATCATAGCTATAAAACGACAACAGACAGGCTCAGCTAAGGTAAAGATTGATTCTGTTAGTGGAAAAATACCAACCTAGCACATGACGACCTGCCATGAACTGTTTTTAGTTAATAAGTTTTCATTTCAGACCATCTTTTGTGGTTACTTTAGGTCTCTGTGTTTGTAAGGTCACCACGCAGGCCTCCCCTGAGGTCATTGCCTTTAGCGTGTGGCCCCCTTTCTTCCACAGTATTTACCCAGGTATTTATTTACTGCTTCCTTTGCTTTTCTTTCCCATTTTATCTCACACTTCACATTTGCTTCCTGATTGAAGCACCTACTTCAGAATTTACAGCTAGAGATGAAGTCCCCTAGTTTTCATTGGTCTGAAAAAGTCTAAATTTTTCTTTTGTGGTTGAAAGAAGTCTTTTTGGCAGAATTTTGAAGATAAAATTCTGCTCTCCTCTGGCTTCTATTGTTTCTCTCTGGGTTTCTGTTTTCTCTTTAAGTTTTGCCCTGGGAATTCCTATTTTTCCTGTTCTTTTGTGCTTTTATGAAGGTTTTATATGCTATTTTATCTAGCATTTTAAATTGTTTTCAGCAGCGGGATTAGCATAAATAATTTAGCCCACTGTTACCAGAAATTACAAGTCAGTATTGTTTTTATTTTGAATTATTTATGGAAATGAAGGTAACTGATCCTTTTCAATGCCTAAGACCCTCTAAAGTTGTATTATCACCAGCTGTGTTATTGTTGAGTCAGCTGTAGGCGGTTAACCTGAATAGCTGTTGATGACTAAAGGGGAGGATCTATTAGCCTCTCTTAAATCTTTCTTGTGCAAATCTCCTCATAATAGAGTTCTATAATGTTTTTAGCACGGTATTTTATTATTTCAAAACCCTTCAAAGGGTACCTTATCTGACTTGCATGCTTAATACCTTTTTAGAGGAAAAAGAAATATTAAACTCAACTTGATTGCTATGGACTATTATGTCAGTTAAAAAGTTCTTAAAAGTTATCATATGGGAAAGGATATATATTTTTCACTTAAGGAAGACTAGGTCTTACATTTTGTTTCTTCAGTATGTTCTGAACTGTATACCTCTTGACAATCTGAATATAATTCAAAGCTCAGAGCTCAGTAAACCTAATTCAAGGACAGAATGAGGGTGTGCATTGCTTGACTTATGTAGATAATTATTTTGGCTTTTAAGACAAAGTAACTTGAAAGTAATGTGGCTGGTATTCACATCTTTTTTGAATGGGTCACCAGTCTTGTGACATTCCAGTGAGATGTGAACCAACTTTGCCTTCATCCAGAAGAGTGCAGTGCATATATGCGTGGAATACAGAAGTTTGCACAACTTTCTACAGCCTTTTGAACTTCATGCATGAAATGTAAACACCCATCCTTAACTCACCAAGAGAGGTCCTTGTCCAGAGGCTTCCTTTAGGAACAGAGTCTATTTTTGTGGGCAAGGTCAAGATTTCTGTTTCTGTCCAGCTCCCCCATGAATAAGGATATCAATGCTCACCTAGCTATTTTGATCACGTGGAGAAATGTGTGAATGTGTTTTGGATTCTGCACAATTCACATTCATTGCAGAGAGAAGAACTCAGAAGCATTTGCTTACTGCTGGGGAGTGAATGTCACCATTTTTATATATGAAGGAAAATATGTTATTGGAATTCTAACCAAATATTCTTTCTTTTTTATTGAAGCTGTTTCCCCTGCCTCTCCTCTACATTGGAAACCACATAAGTGGATTATCAAGCACAAGTAGATTAAGGTAGAGTGCCAGAGAATGATTGACTGGAGACCCTTCGCTTGTTTGCTTCTGATGGTACAAAGGCTACATTTGATTTTTTAAGATATTGCTTGGGCTACATATAGAATACAATAATATTTAATAATTTGTAAAATAAGATAGAGTTTTGGGTTTAATTTGTTAGTGCTTTTAGAAATGTTAAAAAACTGTTTCTCTCTCTCTGTCTCTTTTTTGTTTATGTTCAAAGTCTGCCCCCAAAAAGTGAACTCTCTTGGAATCAAGATAGAGAGAGGGTGATTTATTCAAGAAGAACTGTGTATATAAGTATGGTTGTGTGTAACTTTTGGTTTCATCACAGTTTTATAAAAGCAGAAACATTCTGTCAGATTTGGTATAGGTCAGGTTTGGTACAGGGTAAAAGAAATAACAGACATTATTTTCAAGTGTGTGCTATATATTTCTGAAATTTGCCTTTAAACTTATTTCAGGGTCCTTTCATTGACTATGTTTGTTAAAAGTAACTGTAAAATATAAAAATGAAAGTGTAGGAAGACCCAGTCATCCTATAAATCAGGAAACTTGGTATGAAATATGTAGCCTAATGAACATACACTAGTCACTAATCTGTGACAAAGATATAAATAATAAAGTTTGTACAAATGGTGACACCTGCTTGTATAGTGAATGGAAAAGAGCAGGTAGAAGGTAGACCAGAAGGAGAAGGACATATAAAATGGAGAAGTGTGAAATTTGGCCAATGGCCTTTCTCTTGTTTAGAACGTAAAGGACAGGTGTGGTTATGAAAAAAAAAGTGAAATACTGTTTTCAGTTACATATTTTAGTTGATTTGTTGTTGTCTGCTGAGATCAGGGTAGTCATTTTTCCTTAATTACCTCAAATGTGTTTTGAGGCTTCCTGTGGTAGATGTTATTGCTGTGCTACCATGTACCCTCTTCAGTTCTGAGTTCTCCTGTGGACGGTACCCTTGGTCAGCAATGACGGCTGGCCACCTCTCACATTGGGGGTCTCTGCCTCCCATATGATGGTTTCTTTTTTTTTAGTGACCCTAGTAGAAACATCTTTTTGAAAAACCTTTAATTTGTTGGGGTAACATTGGTTAATAACTATATAAATTTCGTATGTACAACTTTATAATACAACATCTATGTACTCTATTGTGCACTTACCAGCTGGTGTCTAGTTCCCACCCCTCACCATGTATTTGACCACCTTTACCCTCCCCTTAGTCCCCTCCCCCTCTGGTCACCACCATTCTGTTGTCTGTATCTGTGAGTTGTTTTCTTTTTTAGATTTTATTTATTAAATTTAGAGAGAGGGGAAGGGAGGGAGACAGAGAGGGAGAGAAACATCAATCGGTTGCCTTTCACATGTTCCCAACTGGGGACCTGGCCCACAACCCTGGCATGTGCTCTGACCTGGAATCGAACTGGCAACCTAAAGCTTTGCAGGATTGTTGACGGGAGAGATCTGGTTCTTTTTGCTGATGCATGTAAAGAATTACATATCAGCAAATCTAGTAGTATGTAATCAGTTTATTAGTGGCTCCCTTCCATGAAAGAGAACAGGACTGGGTGGAGTAGGGGTGAAAGGCAAAGTTTCAGGGCAAAGCAGGGTGAGAAAAGCAAAAGAGGTTGGACACCAGAGTAGCAAGCCCCTGGGCAGCCTGAGGCCAGGTGGCCAGAGGCCCTGTGGCCTGAGAGCTAAGAGCACCCTGAGCCCGAGAGAGAGAGAGAGAGAGAGAGAGAGAGAGAGAGAGAGAGAGAGAGAGAGAGGGAGGGAGGGAGGGAGGGAGGGAGGGAGGGAGGGAGGGAGGGAGGGAGGGAGGGAGGGAGAGACCTTTGTTCTCAGGACTTATATAGTTGGTGGGATAGGAGGGGAAAAAATTACATATTGATTAATGGGTAAATGTGGCGCCAGTTTTCCTGGGGGTTTGCTAGCCCGAATTATTATCTTGCTCCAGACCCCATTTAGTCATCTTGTTGTAAAACAAATATCTGACAGTTAATTAAAATTGGGGCACTTTCCAAAGTTATTTATGGGCTGTTTTTGTAAGCATTAGGGACTCCCTCCTAAAACAGATAGTGACCAGAGGTAGGCAATTACCCAAAGTTGTGTTATGGGCTCTTTCTTTGGGCACTGGGGACCCTCTCCCACATTCAGGCCTTGGGATGAAAGCACAGTTTCAAGGCTTTCTTTCCCAGATAGTGGAAATGCTACACAGAATTTCAAGGACTTTCTTTCTTGTTAACACAGTGTTTCTTGTGATATTGAAACACCTGGAAATATTATCAGAACAGGCTTAGGACTGCTGAGTTAGCATATGAGACTTGTCTCCTTCCTCCTCCCTGCTCCGGTTTACTATTTATTCTACCTAATTGGTAAAGGGTGTTTCCTGGCAACCAGGGTGATAAATGCTGGCCAGTGACAGTATTGCAATCTCAGAGTTCTTCCTATGCTGTCTCTTGCTTCAGGATGATGCCCAACCAACTGAGCCACACTGGTCAGGGCTATATCTAGGAGTTTTTTGTTTGTTTGTTTTGTTTCTCCATTTGTTGCTTTTTTGTTTTATATTGTACATATGAGTGAAACCATATGGTTCTTGTCCTTTTCCATCTGACTTATTTCACTTAAGATTTCTCCATGTTGTTGCAAGTGGCAGTGTTTTATCTTTATTTATTTTTTTAAAGACACATTTATTCAGCGTCATGATCAGACTATTACATTTAGCAATCAACAGCATGGGTGCAAAAAAGGAAAAAAAAACTACATTAAAAACCCTTTGTTGGAATGCTTTACACTTTCCATAGAACAGAAACTAAAATAACCTGTTATACAATTGGTCACAAATACAGTCCTCGAGTTTTTTTGCCCATTCACATGAGTATTGACTAAAACATGTCTTCTTTGTAGCAGCTAGGCCCTGCCACCACTGTGCTTGGTTGAGTTCACAAATCTGTTGTAACCTGTAGCTTCCCTGTCACTTCTCTGGCTCTCCTCTCCTGCTAAGCTTTGTTTCCTGGCATAATTAAAACCTTCTGCCACTGCCATAGCTACTGCTGCTGCTGGACCACCATAGCCACCTTGGTTTCATGGTTTGGCAAAGTACTGGCCTCCACCACCATAGGGGCCAGAGCTTTTGCCTCCAAAGTTTCCTCCTTTCATGGGCCCAAAATTTGAAGATTGATTGTTGTAATTGCCAAAATCATTGTAGCTTCCACCACCTCCAAAGTTGCTTCCATCATTACCAAATCCATTATAGCCATCCCCACTGCCACCATATCCACCACCACCACAGCTACCACCAAAGCCACCTCGACCGCTGAAGTTTCCTCCACGACCAAAGTTGTCATTCCCACCAAATCCACCTCCACGACCACCTCCGAAGTTTCCAGAACCACTTCGACCTCTTTGGCTGGATGACGCACTAGCCATCTCTTGCTTAGATAGGGCTTTCCTTACTTCACAGTTGTGGCCATTTACAGTATGGTATTTCTGAATGACAATTTTGTCGACAGAGTCATGGTCATCAAAGGTTAAAAAGCAAAGCCTCTCTTTTTGCCACTGCCTTGGTCAGTCATGATTTCAATCACTTCAATTTTCCCATACTGTTCAAAATAATCTCTTAGGTGATGTTCTTCAGTGTCTTCTTTAATACCACCAATGAAAATCTTTTTCACAGTTAAGTGGGCAGCCAGTCTTTGAGAATCTTCTCTTGAGACAGCCCTGTTTGGTTCCACAACTCTTCCATCTACCTTGTGTGGCCTTGCATTCATGGCTGCATCCACCTCCTCCACAGTGGCATATGTGACAAACCCAAAGCCTCTGGAGCACTTGCTGTTTGGATCTCTCATCACCACACAGTCTGTGAGCATTCTCCATTGCTCAAAATGGCTCCTCAGACTCTCATCTGTTGTTTCAAAGCTCAAACCTCCGATAAAGAGCTTCCGTAGCTGTTCCGGCTCTTTGGGAGACTCTGACTTAGACATGACGACTGCAGAAGAGAGAACTTCAACGATGCTTACTCAGCGGCGTCCACCAGCAGAAAGCTTATCTTTTTTTTTTTTTAAGGTTTAGTATTATTTCATTGTGTGTATGTACCACATATTCTTTTTTTTTTAATATCTTTTTTTTTATTCAAATACCATTCTGATCACTCATGGTCCAAGGACATTGAAGTAATAAACCAAAAGGAAATAGATGTTAAAGATTGATCTTCAAACATTATAGCCAATGATGCCATGCTTGCCCATGATCTCGCTGACATAAAACCACATCCACACCTCAGTCGCCACCAAACCAGTCAGCACAGCTTCCTTAAATGGTAGCTGTTTGAAACTACCAGTTTGAGCACTATTGACTATAGACGACTGAGCACTTTTTTCAAGCTCTGAATAGCTGTTAGGATCTCAGCAGGGGCTGGAGGAATCAGCTCAACCTTGGCATAGTGCCAAAATGCGGCCAGTCGAGGTTTCGAGCAAATTGCAGCAGCATTTACCAGCACTGGGCCCTTCTCTGTGAGGTTACAGACAAATTGAGCCATGATTGCAGGATGGAAATTCTGTGGCCCTGCTGGCCAGCTGAATGTCACCCCTTGAAAGCTGTACCACATATTCTTATCCAGTCTTCTGTCAAAGGACATTTAGATTACATTCATGTTTTGGCTATTATAAATAATGTTGCAATAAATGCAGGAGCATATATAGACAAATATTTATGAATAAGTGTTATCAGTTTTTTCAGTGGATATCCAGAAGAGGGGTCACATGGTAGCTCTATTGTTAATTTTTTGAGGAACCTCCATACTGTACCATAGAGGTGGCAAACACAAGGCCGGAGGGCCAAATCCAGCCCTCCTCTGTTTTATCTGGCCCCGCGCCTTGTTTCTACCCTGCGGCAGCACTGAGCTCCTTGCCCCTAGTTAAGGAGTAGTTACATTTATACAGTCCTAAAATTACATTTGGCCCTTTGAAGGCAACCGCGAGGCTGATGTGACCCCCCGGTGAAAATGAGCTTGACAGCCCTGCTATAGCAGTTTACATTCCCACCAGCAGAAAAGAATCTTTCCAACAAATGGTGCTCAAACAGTTGGACATCACATAAAAAACTGAACCTAGGCATGGGCCTTACTTCTTTCACAAAAATTAACTTTAAAAAGATCATACACCTAAATGTAAAATGTAAAATAAAAAGCTTCTGGAAAAAAAACATAGGAGAAAATCTAGATGACCTTGGGTTTGACAATGAGTTTTTAGATACAACACCAAAAGCACAACCCATGAAAGAAAAAAATGAAAGCAGAACTTCATTAAAATTTAAAGCATCTGTTCCTAAAGACTATGTTAAGAGAATGAAAAGACAAGCCACAGACTGAGAGAAAATATTTGCAAATACATATCTGATAAAAGACTTGCATCAAGCAAATGAAAATTCATGAATTCATGAGAGCAAAAAAACAAACAGAAACAACTCTCATTGGTTACCAATGAAGATGACAGAACACTGTTATTTCTCTGAACATTTATAAATGATTCTCTTATCCTGCCTTTCCTATGTGAAATGGTGAAAATTTATACTTATTGAAGAAGTTTATACAATAAATACAGAAGGGGTAATATAGTTAGAAAACCATCATTTTACACTTTGTAGTGAAATAATGGGTCTAGATAATCATCATCAATGGATACTAAACCCATTAGGTGAAAAATTGATGTTTACTTGTCCCAGCATCATGTGTTCAAAAGACTGTCCTTTCCCTGTTGTATTGTCTTGGCACCCTTGTTGAAAATAATTGACCGTTATTGTAAGGATTTCTTTCTTTCTTTTTTAGATTTTATTTATTTTTAGAGAGAGTAGAAGGGAGGCAGAAAGGGAGGGAGAAAAACATCAATGTGTAGTTGCCTCTTGCAGGCCCCCCCACCACAGACCTGGCCAGACCTGGCTGGACCTGGCCTGCAACCCAGGCACATGCCCTGACTGGGAATCAAACCAGTAACCCTTTGCTTTGCAGGCCAGCACTCAGTCCATTGAGCTACTCCAGCTAGGGTGAACTTTGTTGTTTTTGATGCTATCATAAGTGGAATTGTTTTAGTTTCCTTTTGGATTGCTTATTGCTAATGAATATAAATACAACTATTTTTTTAATATTCATTTGTTTCCTGCATACTTCCTTAATTCTCATTAATTGTAGTAATTTGTAGTAATTTATTCATTTATTTATTTGAGAGAGGGGAAGGTAGGGAGAAAGAATGGGAGAGAAGCATTGATGTGGGTGACAAATATCAAAGTGACAGAGAAACACTGATCAGTTGCCTCTTGCACATGACCTTCCGGGACTGAACCCAAAACTCAGGCATGTGCCCTGACTGGGAATTGAACCAGCATCTTTCACTTTGAGGGATGATGCCCAACCAACTGAGACACACTGGTCAGGGCTATAATAATTTTTAAATGAGTTCCTTAGGCTTTTCTATATATGTCATCTGCAAATAAAGGTGACTTTATTTCTTCCTTTCCAAACTGTATGTTTTCTTTCCCACCTTGCTTAATTGCCTTGTCTAGACCCTCCAGTACAATGGTGAATACACTTAGTGGTGAGCGAGAACCTCCTGGTCCTATTCTTGGTCTTAGGAGGGAAAAATCAAACCTTTGATCACTAAGTATATCTTACCTGCTTTTAAAAGGCATTATCTAAAAATATTTTTTGAAGTTAATTGAAAGTAACAACACTTTTAGTTGACTGCTTTGACAAAGACAATTCAAACCAGTCTCATATCTTTTTTTTATTTTAAGCTGTTTATTAAGAAACAAAAGACTCAGAAAGAACCTTTGACCCTCTCCCCTTTCCTGCCCAAGAGATTAAGCTCTTATAAGAAATTTTAAAGTGTGAACATAAAGTTCACACTTGGTCTCTGGTTGTAGTGCCACTGTTAACATTAAATCTCTCCTCAGGTCTCAGGTCTGGTCCAGAGGAGCTGGCCACTCCCACTCTGGGTTGTGATTCTGACTTTCCTTTCCAAAGCCACCACCTTCTGAGGGTCCCATCTGGAAGCAGGTGGAGGTGGGCTGTCCCGACCCTGACAGTCTGTTGGCTGTGCACTGAGCTGTGTCCTAGAATCTCTGGGTTTTAAGAGTTGGTGGAAGTGTTTTTTTAAAGCATTGAATGTAACCTCATTACTTAAAGTTTTGGAGGAAAAATGACTGGCAATTCCACCTGCTAGCACACTATTTTAAATATTCATTTTTAGTCTTTTTAAAAAACATACAGAATGTACTTTGTTATAGTTGTAGGCTCTACATAATTCCTTGTTTCTTCCTTGTTTTATTTAATATTTTCTAATAGTGGTAAAGTTATCGCATACAATGTTTCCTCAGTGTATTTATCATAATTTATTTAATCATTGCTTTGTTGTCTGACATTTTGTTGTTTCTGATGTTTTTCCCAAAGATACTACTGCAGTGAACACTTTTGTACACATGTTTTGTTCTTTTCTTTGGTTGATTACCTAAGATAAGTCTCCCAACAAGAAGTAATTAGGTCCAGGGTTAGGCCCATTTAATGACTCTTGATGTATGTAGCCCCAATGTGTTTTGCCAAAGGGTGTATTGGTTCACCTTGTGGACTAGTTTAGCACAATTTTGTAGTAGTTGGATATTATGTTGTTTTAAATAGTTAATAGATGAAAGTGACTAAAGTTATTTAATTTCCCATTTTTAAATTATTTAACATGATTTGTTAGTAGTATACATGAGAATTAGGTCAATTCCTCATATTTAATTTGGAAAATTAGTGCCTTAATTAAAAATGTGAAACATGTTAAAATTTCTTTTGGTGCCTGATGTTATTCTTCTTAAATCTTTTCCTGACAGCTTGCCGATGTTCACTGTGCTCAGGAAATTTACCATTCCACTCACTTTACTCTTGGAAACCATCATACTTGGGTGATTTTTGTTTTTTCCTCCGTTCCTCTGATGTCCTGTTTCCCCTTCCCTGCAGTATTTTTACCTAGAAAATTCTCAATATCTAGTCTTCTTTCCAAATAGTTGATTTGAATCGCTAGTAGCAATAACTTTAGGACAAATAGTTTATTATCTTAAAAATAGTCTCCTATTTCCATAATACCCTATGAACTTAATGAATGATTTTTAATGATAATTTTATATTAGACAAATAATACATGTTTGTGGTAGAAGTTTATTTAAAAAAACCAGTAACCCCCAAACAGATGTAAATCTGTTTCCTGAGCGAGGTGGAATATACACTGATTTTGAAATACCGAGGAAAAATTGTGTGTATATATAGGCTAGGAGGGGAGACACTCAGGGAAATCCATTCTGATGCAGTGATTATGATGTCACATTAGAATAAGTTTGTTTTTGTAATGTTGGGTTAGAAATTTTTCATAAGGATATTGAGGCTGCCATTCATAAAGGTAATACCTGATTTTGCTGTGAAGGTTATTTAGGAGTGAAGTTTGGATGATGCCCCAGTTTTATCTTAATCTTTGGATGCTTGATATAAGTACATACCAACTAGACCAGCAGCAGGAGGTGTTCTGCATTTTGTCCCAGCATCTCTCTAGTGAGAACAGAGAAATGCATTTATAATTAGATTAAGGTGGTTCTTAAGAAATGCAGTAAATTTGGTCAGACTTACTGATCTACTTACAAATACTTTCAATGCTTTCTCTAGGTAAAGCATTATTCATTCAGTTTTAGCTATAAAACTGTTAACAGTGTTTATATTCAGTTTGTTTTAAAAATATGTTCTATATATTTTTTTACTCTCCTTCTTTCTTTGGACTGTCTGTCTCTCATCTGCCCATCTGTGTATTTATTACAGGAAACAGTATTCCTTGAACATCATTGTCAGTGTCTTTGCCATCGTTCTTGGTGCTGTCATAGCAGCTGGGTAAGACTTTGGACAGTTTCTGCTCAATAACTTCTTTGTGTGTTTGACAACAGTCCCAGCCTCATTCTCATTTTTTATTTTCCATCTGGCTGCCATTGAATTGAGCAGCCAAGGGACAATCTGGTGTTTAGGAACCTCTCTCGTGTTCCTGTGAAAGTCAAACTGGATTCCGTGTTGGCCGGAATGTTTCTAAGAATATATAAAGAGAGCATTATAAGATATTAATACAGCATTTCTTCATAGAAAAGGAATGAACTGTTTACTTTTATTACTGAATATTCGTCTTCAGTATAAAAATTTTGCTTGAAAACTTCTTAGGCATTTGATTAAGAAGAGTAACAGATTTATTAAGTACATACCAACTAGAATGCTGATTTGTTTTGTCATCCTGTGATGCCTTAGAAGTCAGTATTTCCAAGGCAGAATACTCTCATGAAATGTCTTGTAAAGTTTGGGACAGGAGCCAACAATACCAGTGCATGACTGCTACTTTACTGGCTAATGTGCAGGAGCAGGAATGAGAACTTGGAGACTGCATTTTAAAGCAGGCACTCAGATTCCTATGTTTTATAGCATGGTGGTTACAGCATGTGGGCAGTTACAGTACCTGGGTTTAAAACTTAGTCCTGCCTCTGTCAGCTCTTTCTCAGCCCACCTGTGCCTCAGTTTCCTCACCTATAAAGTAAAGATTATAATAGAAAAGAAAAAGCTACTTGACTGAAGGGAAGAAAGAAACTAGTGACCTTAACCCATTTAGAAATGAGAGTTCTGGATCATTACTTGCGAATTAAATAAGGGTGTGGGCTGCACTGCCAGGATATCTGGGATCTTAATTCCAGCTACCTCACCTACTAGCTACATAAGCCAGGACAAACTATTCAACCTCCCTGGGCCCAGTTATTTCAGCAGTACAGTAGAAATTAGAATAGCATCCACCTAATAGGTTCCTTGTGAGAAGTAAATGAAGTAATAATAAACTAGGGTTTACACTAGTGCATGACCAAAGTCAACAAAAATGTACTGAGTGTTTGCTGTGTGCCAGGCATCATTCTGGGTGCTGGGGAATCCAGCAGTTAACAAAACAAACAAGAATCCTTGCCTTCATAGAACTTCCATTCTAGTTGGTGGACAGAGAATAACCTAAAGAAATATACTAAAAAATATAGCACACCAAATGGTGACAAAGACCACAGTTTATTATTTATGTTTTCATGTATATCTCGCTCCTCCCCAGTCCTGGCGGAAGTGGAGGTCAGCCCCTTGGAAGCTGGGCCCTGGTGTCAGCCCTGTATTCCCTCCCTGTGGCATGTGCCAGTACAGACAGCAAGCAGCAGCACTCAGAGCCTGTTTTAGTCATGAAGACGTTTGCTCAAACAAAATCAGATGAATAAAATAGCTAAAAAAGGGAGGTGTTCTGTTGTAAGTTCTCTGCCCTCACAGCACCCTGGGGATCTCTCCTGGGTAGCCTCTCTCTTCTATGTTTCTTCGAGCTCAATTTGAAAACCATTGACTTAGAGCCAGTTGAAGACTTTTACAAAAAAATGGTTTATAAACAAGTCTGGAAGTCTTTGGTGAAGAATAGCACTTCAGGAGCTGTGTGTGTATAAGCACATTCCAGAACCAGTTAGTAGAAATTCATCTTATTTAATACATGTGATACTCTAATGAGCTAGAAGGGTAGCTGGTTTTACCTAAGAGCCAGCTTGGAATAGTAATTCTCAGCTTTCCCCTTTGTCAGCACCCACAGAATGGAGAACAACCTGGTGGGTAACAAGTACAGTTTTTAGCTGTAGGTCAGCTGAAACCCCACCCTTCTCTCCTCTCACAAAAATTAACTCATCCAAATGTCAGTAATCCTAGAATGGACTCAGTTGGATCAGCCAGTTAATGCTGCTGTAACAAACAGCTCCCACATTTCATATCAGTTGTTTAACATGTCAAATGTATTCTGCTCACACCTCTTATGCAAACCAATACCAGTTAATGCTGTGTGTGTGCCCTGCTCAGTGTAGCTGCTCAGGGATCCAGTTAGATGGGACCCTGCCTCAAAGGGGGCTTCTTACATATTCACGCTGGAAGAGGGCATGTGGAGAACTGTGCACTCACTCTGCAAGCTTTGGCCTTGGAGTGAGGTGTTAATTCCTCTTACATTTTATTTGCCAAAGCAAGTCAGAAAAAGTTGAAATAGAATGTCTGAACAGCCCTAAATGACAACCACAAGGCTTAACCACGAATCTGCTCATTTATAAACAAGTAAATTCCTCTCAGCCCTGGCTGACGTGGCTCAGCGGACTCAGTGCAGACCTGTGAACCAAAGGTTTGCTGGTTAAATTCCCAGTCAGGGCACATGCCTGGGTTGTGGGCTAGGTCCCCCGTAGGGGGCATGCAAGAGGCAACCACACATTGATGTTTCTTCTCTCTTCCTTAACCTCTCTGAAAATAAATAAATTAATTAATTAAAAAAATTCTTCTCAAACTTCTGTGCTTTCACTACTGGCCTAAATAAATGATGTTTGGAACTTCCCTGGCCCCTACTCCCCCAATCCCCAGAGAAAGAACTGAGAACTCTGGGAATTTCCCTCAGGCTCTCTGAGGAAGTAAGCAGCACCTCCCTTCATTCCTCTAGAAACCTGGCTGTTTTGCCCATTCTGCTCTTTGTTAGTTAAGGAAATGGCCAACTTTCAATCATTGAGCCTAATGTGAGTAGGCAGGAGGTTCGAATCCTCATTTTGAGAGATTCTATTTCTGTGAGAGAGCCAAAGAATTCTGATAGTGATGATCTAAAATTAACTTACATTTTCAAAAATATATATAGATAATAATGCCAGTGGAAGCTTCAAGCAAAATCTGGTTTAAATTGTGTACAGATCTTGATGCGGTTTTTGCCTCTCTCTACTTTCTTCTCTTTGGTTAGAAATAATCTTATTTTCATATTGAAGGGGATCAGGATATGCTGTTTCAAAATATGCCACTTTGGCATAAACATTGTTTTGAGCTGAAGGTAATTGAGAATCCACAAATGTAGCAATCTCTGCCCTCCCTTTTCTGCCTAAAAGCAGATCATAAGTTTCTTTTTGTGAAGGTGTCCCCTTTCCTGGACCTGGAGACAGGAAAGCAGTTCTTGTCACTGGAGGTGAGAGTCAGCATAAACAGACCTAACTAAAATAACACTTATCTTCTGTTAGTTTCCCCCATATAATCCCTAGTCCCTTTCCCATAATTTGTTCCTCAAAACCTAAACCCTCTTTGTTAAAATGGCATATCAGCCCCAGAATTGAACAGCTTCTTTGAGTTTCACTTCTCTGTGAACTCCTGTATGCATAAAATATTCACTATAATTTGTATACTTTTTTTTTTTTTTTTTACTGTTCATGTATCTTTTGTCAGTTAGATCCACAGGCCTCCAGTCACTGAACCTGTGGGGGCAGAGGACACCTCCTTGGCAATGTATATTTATGAATTATGACATTGGTCTTATAATGTCTGCAAGGTCATGTGCAGGTGGATGAATCACATCTTGGCTAAGCTGTTGTTCTGTTTCCTCCCTATGTCACATCCCCCCCAAATATTTTTATACTAGTATTATTTATTTAAAGTAAAAATTGAAGAGATGTTTCACAAGGATGGGAAGGAGGGAGCCTTAGAGGAGGCTCAGAGAAGGACAATGTGACTGTTTGGGTGCCAGATGTAGGTGTCAGTTTCTCAAATGACCCCTCTTGCCCCAGTCACTGCCCAGCTGTCTCCACAGGGCTGCACCCTGGGGATGGCCCTATTTACTACAATAAGCAACTGCTGCTCGGTGTGTTGTGTAAGTCATTCCCCTTAGAAAAGCAGAGCTCAGCGATTACTGTTGATTTATCAGTTAGCAAACGAAAGGACTTTGCAGTAAAAAGAAGATGCTTAATGTCCTCTGGTTCTAAGCCATTGGTGATTAAGTGGAAGCCACATGATGGCCTGGTTCTGTTTTTGTCTGGAGGCCAAGCAGAGGAATTAACCATTCACCACTGCTGAGGGGGAAGCTATACCAGAGGAAGGTAGTTACTAGCATCACCATTGGCTATGACTGGGGGAAGATGAAACAGGCAGACTTTTGAGGCCAACATGTGAGTTTCTGAATAGTCTTCCTTTTGTGTTCTCTCTCTCAGTTCTGACCTTGCCTTTAACCTGGAAGGCTATATTTTTGTATTCCTGAATGATATCTTTACGGCAGCGAATGGAGTTTATACCAAACAGAAAATGGACCCAAAGGTACCACATCTTCACTCATATGTCTTTTAGGCTTTGCCATCTGGCCCCTGAAATTACAAGAAAAAATAAAATGAATTTGTAAAGTTGGCATGTAATTTAATTTACATAATGTCACTAATTTATTTTCAGTGACCTTGTCTATAGAGTTTCTTGTTACCCCTTGTCTTGCAAATTTTTTGGTGGAAAATTAGAGAGGATGGGAAAAGATGCCACTGTTGTTGATGCAAAATCAGAATATATAAAAGGGATTATTATGAAAGGCAAATTAATAACAGTTTTTTATACCACCATCATCAGTGACCAGGTTGAAGTCTGAGAGCAACTCCAGCTTGAGAGTCTGGAAATAAGGGTTCCAGTTCCAAATTTTGTTGCTTACTGGTGGTCATTGTAACTTTGAACTTGAACTTCTTCGAACCTCAGTTTCTCCATCTGTGGATGAGTTGATTGGAGTGGGTAATTTATAAGGTCCTGTCCAGCAGTAACCACCTCTCACAGTCCTGAGGGGTGGTGGGCAGATGAGCTTTTCTGCTGAGGTGCCCGCCCCCAGCCCTCACCCCATCCCCAGCTGTTCTGGAAGTGCAGGAGAATGAGCCAGACATACGGTTCTTTGTACCAAGTCCTTTGTGTCAAGCGAGGGGTTTCCTCTGATGGATAGATAGGCTTATTTCTAGGAGCTGTTTTTATATTCTGCTCAGCCATTTGTTTTTTAATGGTGGCACTTTTACAAAAACAGTTTTGTTGCCTTTTGGGAATCACAATATGTCACCCTTTATGAAAAGTGGTGTAGCTCTTTTAATGAAAAGTAACTTTATGGAAGATTGGAAATGAGGTATCTAGTGTTTTAACCCTGCTGTTCTTTAATAGAAAGCACAGATGTTTTTAAGGAGTTCTATTCATATTAACATTTTTAGTTGCTTTTTATTTTGTTTTAGGTTTTCTATTTTGAATATCATGCTTTAAAAAATTAGAATATCAAGAGAAGGGTGGAACCTTGGAGGCCACCCATCTCCAACCATTTTATTGGTCATTTTTGTGTGAACCAAATATTTATTCTGAGATTACAGTATACCTGAAAGGAAGCATTTTGCACAAGAGAGTTGCTGAAAATAGTCCAATACAGAGTTGGTCAAGATGCATTTTGTAACTGCCTAAATGGTTTATAAATGGGAAGTTGATGCTTCACATTTCTAAAATCAAGTGGGGTTTTCTTTGTTTTCGCAGGAGCTAGGGAAGTATGGAGTACTGTTTTACAATGCCTGTTTCATGATTATCCCAACCCTCATCCTTAGCATCTCCACAGGAGACCTCCAACAGGTAAGCTGATGGCAGGCACTACATTCTTACTCAACATTCTTTTACATCTTTGAATTTAACCCTCAGTACTCACTGAGATACAGTGTGTAAAGGTTACTAGGATTCATTGAAAGCAAGATATCTGATATCCCATGAATACTTTTGGCACTGTCCTTTCATTGGCATTTACCTTTAGACACCTGGGAAGTGGTGGCAAGAGGTCCCAAGAACTCTGGACTGGAAGATTTTTGGAAAACAACCGTAAAAATCTGAGCTTGAGTCTCAGTACCCTTTATTGATGTGGGGAGCCTGGGAAAGCTACGTAATTTTAGAAGGGGATTTTGACATTAAATATGTTATTTATTTATTACCTTGATTATGGACATTTTATTTTATTTTTTAAATATACTTTATTGATTATGCTATTACATTTGTCCCATTTTCCCCCTTTACTCCCCTCCACCCTGCACATTCTCTCACTCCCATGGACATTCCCCCCCCTTTAGTTCATGTCCATGTGTCATACTTATTTTAGCTTCTATGTTTCCCATACTATTCTTATCCTCCCCCTGTCTATTTTCTACCTACCATCTATGCTACTTATTCTCTACACCTTTAACCCCTCTCCTCTTCTCCCACTCCCCTGTTGCTAACCTTCCATGTGATCTCCGTTTCTGTGGTTCTGTTCCTGTTCTAGTTGTTTGCTTAGTTTGTTTTTGTTTTTGTTTTAGGTGTGGTTGTTAATAATTGTGAGTTTGCTGTCATTTTACTGTATGTGTTTTTTGTCTTCTTTTTTTTTAGATAAGTCCTTTTAACATTTCATAAAATAAGGGCTTGGTGATGATGAACTCCTTGAACTTGACCTTATCTGGGAAGCACTTTATCTGCCCTTCCATTCTAAATGAAAGCTTTGCTGGATAGAGCAATCTTGGATGCAGGTCCTTGCCTTTCATGACTTGGAATACTTCTTTGCAGCCTCTTCTTGCCTGCAGGGTGTCTTTTGAGAGATCAGCTGAAAGTCTGATGGAAACTCCTTTGTAGGTAACTGTCTCCTTATCTCTTGCTGCTTCTAGGATTCTCTCCTTCATTTTTACCTTGGCTAATGTAATTATGATGTGTCTTGGTGTGTTCCTCCTTGGGTCCAACTTCTTGGGGACTCTCTGAGCTTTCTGGACTGCCTGGCAGTCTATTTCCTTTTCCAGATTGGGGAAGTTCTCCTTCATTATTCGTTCAAATAAACTTTCCACTTGTTGCTCTTCCTCTTCTCCTTCTGGTACCCCTATAATTTGGATGTTGGAATGTTTAAAGATGTCCTGGAGGTTCCTAAGCCTCTCCTCATTTTTTTGAATTCTTATTTCTCCATTCTTTTCTGTTTGGTTGTTTCTTTCTTCCTTCTGGTCCACTCCATTGATTTGAGTCCCAGTTTCCTTCCCATCACTATTGGTTCCCTGTACATTTTCCTTTATTTCACTTAGCATGGCCTTCATTTTTTCATGTAATTTGCAACCATATTCAACCAATTCTGTGAGCATCTTGATCACCAGTGTTTTGAACTGTGCATCTGATAGGTTGGCTATCTCTTCATCGCTTAGTTGTATTTTTTCTGGAGCTTTGATCTGTTCTTTCGTTTGGGTCATTTTTTTTTGTCTTGATGCTCCTGTTACGTAGTGAGGGGTGGAGCCTTAGGTGTTCACTGGGGCAGGGTAACCTACATTGCTGGATTGTGATGCTGTATGTGGGGGAGGGGTCCAAGAGGGAACAATGGCGCTTGCTCTGCTCTTTGCTGTATTTCAGTCCCTTTCCGCTGCTTCCCCCAAGGAAACTGGGCCCTTCTGGTGCTAATTCCTGGGTGGGTGGGTTTGTGTACTTTCTAGGACTCTGTGGGTCTCGCCAATGAACTCTCCTGTGAGGCTGGGAGTCTCACCCAGCAACCCCCAGAGGTGTTTTTAGTCAGTATTTTGAAGCCTTATTTCCCTGCACTGGGACCCTGGGTTGCGTGGTCTGTCTTGCTCCCCAGTTTTGCCTGGTTTATCTCCATGGGAATGTGGGACCACCCAGGGTCCACCAGCCACTGCTTTCTTTTTTTTGCCCTGACCCCTCTCTGCCCAGCCATCAGACTCCGCCCCTCCTTCCGGTCTGGATGAATGTGTCTACTTTAACTCCTTGGTTGTCGGACTTTCATACAATTCAGTTTTCTGTCAGTATTGGTTGTTATTTTGTTTCTAAATTTTTGTTGTCCTTATTTTGGTTATGGGAGGACGCACAGTGTCTCTACCTATGCCTCTATCTTGGCCAGAAGTCTGATTATGGACATTTTAAAACATGCAAAGTAGAGAGAATAATTTAATGAATTCATGTACTACCCCCCCCCCCACCCCCACTTCCACACATTTTGGTATGTTGCCATTGATATTTCATCTCTCCCCTCTACTCTTACTTTCCCCCACTGGAATATTTTAAAGCAACTTCCAGACAGCATGTCACTTTGTCTCTAAATATCCCAGTATTTATGTTTGGATTTTGAGAAGGTATTTTTTTTTCTGGTATCTGCCCCATTCCTTTATGTGGGCACACCAGCGAGGGACAAATAAAGTGGTGGACTAGTAGAAATATAGGTGGCCCAGCTGGAGAGAGTGGGGCCTGTCTCCTGGGAGGGCCAAGTGTGTTTTCCAGGACACCGACAGTGGCCACCTTGCAGTGTGCTGGCACTGCCTGCCCTGCTTCTTCAGAAAGTTGCTGGCCACACCACTTCTAGGAATGTTGCCTGTGTCTTGAGATGTTTAAAGTCAAGTGAAATGCTAGGATGTGGCCTCAGCCCACAGAACCAAACCTTGCTGGCCCGGGGTGGGGGGTGGTCAGAGAGTCCCTGTGCAGCAGCTGTTCTTCTCCCACAGGACAGCATTTCTGTGTCTAACAATCAGCGGGGTGGCGGGGGTGTGTGTGCAGGCTGAGTCAGTCTTATTTGTAGCACTTTAACAGATTTGAAGGCTGCAGGTTTCTGGGGGTGGGTGTCAGGGCTGATCGTCCTTTCTCAAAACTGTACTTTCTCACGTGTACATTTCCTCTCCAAGAAGCAGGGGGCAGCAGAAGGGTTTAGCAGCGGCATCCCTGGGTAAACAGCCATTTCCACGTGTTTCTATTGAAAACCTCCCAGAAACAGCAGTTTTGGTAAAGGGCTCTCATTGTGTGAGCTGAGGCCTCCTGTAGTTCAGGGTGTTGGAAGGTAGAGCAGGCACCCACCCCTCTCTAGTAATAATTTACAGGGCAGGATATCTGAAAGTACGATATTTACTTTTCAGGTACCATCAATTGATTTTAAAATGCATTTGGGGCTTTTAATTTTATTTTTTATTTATTTTTAATCCTCACCCAAGGATATGTATTGATTTTAGAGTGAGAGGAAGGGAGAGAGCAAGAGACAGAAACATCGAAGTGCGAAACACCAATTGGTTGCTTCCTCTGCATGCCCCAACCATGAATTGAACCTGCCACCTAGATATGTGCCCTGAATGGGGATCAGAAGAGAAGTTTTAAACCCTCAGTGAGGTAGCCCTAATAGCTTGTCTTATTTCATTATCATAGAGAAGAGGTTTTCTTTTAAAGTCACTGGAATGTATCTATTTTGAAATCCTGGTGCTTTAGAGCTGTTTCAGATATATTTTTATTTCTAGAATAGAAATCTAGAAATTCCTAGCAACCTTTAAACACCTGATTGGAACTAAAAGCATATTTCCCCATAGGAACAATGTTATGAATGGCATGATGACCAGAGACTTAATTTTAGGTGTTATGAGCAAAATAGACTACATAGTATATATGTATTAAATGTGGTTGTTTTCTCTTGTTAATCTGTGTCCTGTCTATTTGATTATTAGGCCAGCCAAAAGAACCTTGAAGGTAAAGGAAAAGTTGTTCCCCACACTCCCTACAACTGATTCAGGACAAACTTCTTCCAATCACTTTTGAACATGGCTGCCTCTGTGTTAGATTGTTAAATAGATACAATAAAGGAGCAAATAATATGCCAAGTGAAATAAGCCAGGTGGTGAAAGACAAATACCATATGATCTCACCTTTAACAGGAACCTAAACAACAAAACAAATAAACAAGCAAAATATAACCAAAGACACTGAAATAGAGAACAGGCTGACAGTGAGCAGAGGGGAGAAGAAAGGGAATTTCAGGGGAGAATGGGAAGGGTTTATAGGAACAAGTATAAAGGACACATGGACAAAAAGTGGGGGGTGGTGGAAATGGGAGGGACGTGGGGAGGGATGGGTAGGTGGGGAGGGATGGGAGTAAAGGACAGAAAACTGTACTTGAACAATGATTAAAATAAAATTAAAACAAAAAAAGAAGCAAATAATTTTACATAGGTGTGTTAGTCTGCAATATAAAATTGCATTTTACTTGCCAAGTTTGGTTTGATTTTACCAGAAGTTGATTGATGAATTAAATGAAATGTTCACTTCTCTTATTTGTGGAAGGAGCACTTTGATGAGTTGGTTTTCCTGGTTGACAGCAGAGGGTCAGAGATTGTGTTGGGAGTTGGTGCAAGTCACTGCACTGGGGTGTCCACTCCTGGACCTTGGACTTATACAGTTAGTTGGTAGGTCAGATAGCACTTTGATTCTATCTCTGATTGAGTTAGTGATTGCTGACAAATTAGGCCCCTGGAAACCATTCAGTAGGTGAACTAAAGTCATTTGAATCATAAAATTATTGAATCAAAGTACATTTATTTTTTAATAAGAATTTATTTAAAACTTCAATTATAGTTGCCATACACGTTGTATTAGTTTCAGGTGTACAAGATACTGATTAGATGTTTGTATAACTTAAGAAGTGATCACCTTGACAAGTCTAGTTTCATCCACCTAATACCATACATAGTTATTATGATACCATTGACTGTATCCCCTGTGCTGTACTTTACATTCTTGTGACTGTTTTTATAACTGACAATTTGTCAAAGTACATTTAGTGCATTACAGTTGATGAATAGGGGTAAATATGACTTTTTTCTGATTAAAAATCTATAAATGCAGAATGACAATGATTCACATGCCAATGTATGTTTATAGCAATAATAAGTCTAAAGGAAGAAGTACTTTTATTGTTATTCATCTTGAATTATTTTGTTTTAAAATAAATGTCATGCTGCATTATTTTTTAAAATGTTGCCCATACAGCCTCATCATTATTAGAGAAACAAAATAAAGCTGAAATCTGTCAAACTTTAGGTTGGCTAAGAATCCAGATGTTTTTATGAAAATTACTCCATTGCCCTCTATTCCTCATTAGGAATGTATGACTGTGATTTACTGTTGACTTGGTTTCAGTTTGCAGTGGATGGTCCTTCTAGTCCCAATTCCATTTGACTTTCAGACACAGAGTGTTTTCATGGTTTGTGTTTGGTTTTGCCCTTTGGCCCTGGCGTCAACCACTCCCAATACTTGCTGTCCCTTTGGCACAGGGCTTGCCAGTATGTCAGACTTATACTCATATTTTTCCTTTCACAAGTAAGCATTTTTAAGAATTGCTTTAAGATGGAAATTTTCAAACCTGTGCAGAAGGAGAGGGAATAGTATACAAACCCCATGTACCCAGCAGTCAGCTTCAGCAGTTGTTACCTTTTAAAGTGTATCACCTTTTTGGTAAGGGAGGCAGGCAGAGTATCACTAATGAAACAATGACAGTGAAGTGTGACAAGGTTATAGTAATCAGACAAGAGAACTCCATTTTAATTGGTTTAAACAATTTGAATTGTAAACTTAAGAAGAATTTAAATAATTTTAAACATACGAAGTTATTAGAACTTGGCCAGCAAAATATTGCTTAACAGGAAGTAAATAGAACTTTTATTCATGATATTCAGCAGTACTTGGGCATACTCTTTTTTAAAATGATTTTCTTTATTTTTAGAGATAGAGGAAGAGAGGGAGGAGGAGAGGGAAAGAAACATCCATGATCAGTTGCCTCTCACACGCTCCCCCACCAGGGATTGAACCCACAGCCCAGGCCTGTGCTGTGGTCAGGAATTGACCCAGTGACCTTTTGCTTTGCAGGATGATGCCCAACGTACTGAGCCACCCTGGTCAGGGCAAATCTTGAGTCCTCTTAAAATCATTTTTTGGAGGCAGGCAAGGGACAAATCATGAATAAAATACTTCTTTTTATTGTCACCTGTCATTTCAGGGTGGTTAATTTTACTTTCTCAGCTAGCGACTAAGAGCAGAAACTGAGTCTTAAACTTTTCTGTCTACCAGCACCTCCACCAAATTACTTTATTACTTTTTAAATAGCATATAATTGTGTATTTCTTCATGATATCTGCTAAGCATTTGCAAATTCTAGAAAACAGTAATGCCAACATTATTAATTTTATAATAAGCTTTGTTCTCAGGTTATTTTTATAGAAAGTAAACCTAACCTGATCATGTGACTACAATTTTAGTAAAGATTTAGTGATAGCCATAGTAACAATAGCTCTCATTTTGTTCTTGCCACCTGCAAGGTCCTAAACAATTTCATTAAATCCTTATGTTGATCTTTTGAGGAAATTAAAAAAAAAATCCCCATTTTGTAAATGGACCTCGGGTTTAGGGAAGAAAAGTAATTTGCCCAACATCACATAATTGGTACTATCTAGGGTTTTTAAAATAATGTTTTCTCTTTGGGAAATTGGTTCCTGTACTAAATAAAATGCACAATGTGGTAAAAGTAGATTTAAACTGTAATTTTATTGATCTAATCATTAGTTTTCTTTCTTTTGATACTAGGCGACTGAATTCAACCAATGGAAGAATGTTGTATTTATCTTACAGTTTCTTCTTTCCTGTTTTTTGGGGTAAGAAACCATAGGTAAATAAATACACGCTTTGGTCTATGGTATCTCTTGACAAGTCAAATCAAAATATGCATTCTGTCAAAATTCCTTTGTTTGTCCTTCAGTTTTCTCTGGGAAATACCCATGCAGCAGAAGAGTGGATTGGGACCCATGTTACATGCCACATTCTACAGATAGAATGTTGCCTATTGATTTTTTCTTCTTTTTTGTATGTGTGATAAAGGAAATAATTCTTTATTTTTTAAAACCATCTTAAATATATTTTATCGATTATGCTATTACAATTGTCCCATTTTCCCTCCTTTATTCCCCTCTGCCCTGCACATGCCCTCCCACCACATTCCCCCCGCCCCATTTAGTTCATGTCCATGGGTTGTACATATACGTTCTTTGGCTTCTCCATTTCCTGTACTATTCTTAACCTCCCCCTGTCTATTTTCTACCTACCATCTATGCTTCTTTTTCCCTGTACCATTTTCCCCTTTCTTCCCCTCCCCATTCCCTGCCCCCAGTGATAACGCTTTATGTGATCTCCATTTCTGTGATTCTGTTCCTGTTCTATTTGTTTGCTTAGTTTGTTTTTGTTTTGTTTTGTTTTAGGTTTGATTGTTGATAGTTGTGAGTTTGTTGTCATTTTACTGTTCGTATTTTTCATCTTCTTTTTCTTAGATAAATCCCCTTAACATTTCATATAGTAAGGGCTTGCTGTGATGATGAACTCCTTTAACTTGACCTTATCTGGGAAGCACTTTATTTGCCCTTCCATTCTAAATGAAAGCTTTGCTGGATAGAGTAATCTTGGATGTAGGTCCTTGCCTTTCATGACTTGGAATACTTCTTTCCAGCCCCTTCTTGCCTGAAAGGTTTCTTTTGAGAAATCAGCTGATAGTCTTATGCTAACTCCTTTGTAAGTAACTCTCCTTTTCTCTTGCTGCTGTTAAGATTCTCTCCTTATCTTTCATCTTGAGTAATGTAATTATGATGTGCCTTTGTGTGTGCTTCCCTGGGTCCAACTTCTTAGGGACTCTCTGAACTTCCTGGCAGTCTATTTCCTTTGCCAGATTGGGGAAGTTCTCCTTTATTATGTTTTCAAATAAGCTTTCAATTTCTTGCTCTTCCTCTTCTCCTTCTGGCACCCCTATGATTCTGATGTTGAATGTTTAAAGATGTCCCAGAAGTTCCTAAGCCTCTCCTCATTTTTTTGAATTCCTATTTCTTCATTCTTTTCTGGTTGAATGTTTCTTTCTTCCTTCTGCTCCAAACTGTTGATTTGAGTCCCAGTTTCCTTCCCGTCACTGTTGGTTCCCTGTGTATTTTCCTTTATTTTATTTTTCATAGCCTTCACTTTTTCCTCTATTTTGCAACCATACTCAACCAATTTTGTGAGCATCCTGATTACCAGTGTTTTGAACTCTGCATCTGATAGGTTAGCTATCTCTTCATCGTTTAGTTGTATTTTTTCTGAAGCTTTGATCTTTTCTTTCATTTGAGCCATTTTTTAAAATCTCTGCAGCCTTGTCATGTAGTAAGGGGCAGAGCCTTAGGTATTCACCAGGGCAGAGCAACGCACTGTGGAGCTGTCTGTGGGGGAGGGGTCCTAGAGGGAACAGTGCCACTTGATCTACTCTCCGCTGGCTTTCAGTCACTTCTTCCCCTACCCACAGTCAAATTGGGCCCTTCTGGTGCTGATTCCCAGGTGGGTGGGTTTGTGTACATTCTAGGACCACATGGGTCTCTCTAGTGAACTTGCCTGTGAGGTGTGAGTTTCTCCCACCACCTCAACCCTCCCATGTTTTTTCAGTCAGAGGTTTTGAGGCTTTACTTCCCCACACTGGAACCCTGGGTTGTGTGGTCTGTATCATTCCCCAGTTGTTCCTCTGGGTTTATCTGCACGTAAATGTGGGACTGCCCAATCTGCCAGCCTCCGAGTTGCTCCCCACCATCCTCCAATGGCTGCCTTGCCTCCAGTCCTCTCAGCCCCGCTGCCTGTCTCAGCCCCTCCTACCTACCAGTCTGGATGAATGTTTCTTCTTTAACTCCTTGGTTATCAGAGTTCCATACAGTTTGATTTTCTTTCAGTTATGGTGGTTTTTTGTTTTTAAATTTGTTGTTCTCCTTCTTTTGATTGTGTGAGGAGGCACAGTGTGTCTAGTTAAGCCTCCATCTTGGCCAGAAATCCCAGGAAATAATTCTTTATTCAAAAGCTTCACAATTTTAGAATAACAGCTTCCCACATGCATTAGTCTCATAAGCCTATCAATTAAGGCTAAACACTCCTTAGTTACAGCTTTAATCACTTAAGCCTATCAGTTAGGGCTAAACTTTTAAACAACTGAGTTCTCCAATCTGCCTCTTTAGTTTTAATTATATTATTTCTACAGGGTTAGTTTACAAACTAAAACAACAGAAGATACGAAAGTCACACAATTATGAATCAATGGCAGGTTTCTGCCTCAGAGCTCATCCTCTCTAGAACACCCAAAGAATAACCCTGCCACGCCCTGCCAGGCCAGCCTGATCCTAAGCTGTGCCAGGAGTTCCTTCCTATCCAAAACACCGTCCATTGGGAAACGCAGGCAGTGCAGCACCATCACGCTGGCATGCTCCAGGAAGAAAGAGCCAGCAAGCAAGCCCCAGAGCCAGAGCTAGCCACTGATTTCTGAAAGTCAATTTGACATGAAGCTAGCTGACATGTCCAATTCAGTACTGCGTTTGCCTTTGTCACAATGTGCCATGTTTTCTAAGTTACCCATTTTCTGTAGTGCTGTGCCTACTATAGTCAGGGAAATTTCTGAGCGATGTTGACCATTATGTTGTCCAATAATTTTAGGCTTTTGTTTTTCAAATTTCCCTTAGATCTGACTTCCTATCAGAAGCCATGCAGTTGTGTCTTTTTTCTTATGTTCCAGACTTAAAAATTTTCATGACTAGATAATAATGCAACTAGCAAATCATCCAAAAGCTGAAAAGGAATGCACAGGGGCACAAGCTACCCTCCCTCCCTCATTCTCATTCATTCACTTTCCCTTTGTCCCTGCCCGGTAGCACTGTAGTTTTCTTCTCCAGAGGCAGGCAGTGTTTGAAAGCTTGGGAGTAGCCTCCCTGGGCTGGGCTCCATGTGTATACAAGCCCCTGTGTCTTTTTGCATATTAAGGGGTCTTTGAATGTGTCTAAGGGAATTGCTTATTAAAAGGCTTTTTCTGTGAAGTAAAATGAATTTCCCTCTTATTTTTTAAACTGTGAATACCACAATTTTAATTATGTGTAAATGAACTAAGACAACTCTTGATCTCTTTGATCAACACTCAGTTATCAAACTGGGTTTTAATTGCATACTGTAGTCACATTCAGTAAAAATATTTATGTGTACATTCTCCAGTTCAGTAATCCTTTGTTTAGCTGTGTCTGATTTAATGTTTAACCTGATGGAGTTTTTGATTTTAATGTTTTATATTTTATTTGTCAACATCTCACAGCTTTTTTCCCTAACTTACTGCCTATTTTTAACATTCTTTCATTGGTGAACTTTGTGACTATACCTTTTATTTCTTTTTTTTTTTTAATTTTTAAAAGATTTTATTTATTTCTAGGGAGGGAAGGGAGGGGGAGAGAGAGAGAGAGAGAGAGAGAGAGAGAAACATCAATGTGCGGTTGCTGGGGGTTATGGCCTGCAACCCAGGAATGTACCCTGGCTGGGAATGGAACCTGGGACACTTTGGTTCCCAGCCCACGCTCAATCCACAGAGCTACGCCAGCCAGGGCTGTTTCTTTAAATGTTACGTGCATAGCTAGTCTGTATTCTGTATCTGATGATTCCAACACCTGCAGTTGTTAAGAATCTAAACATGCACTTTGTTGACTGATTATGTAGTTTGAGACTGTCTTCATGGTTTGCTTTCCAGTGTGTTTGGTGACTTGTGATTGTGAGCATGTTGCTTAATGTCAGTCAGTCCTATTGGCTGAAATTGGGAATTTGAGAAAACTTCCTGCAGGGACAAATGGATTTTGCTCCAGCTTGTTGCCAGGTGTTGCCCCTTACCTAGACCACTTCAGTCCTTTTTGAGGGCCTAGCTTCAGTGGGTTACAGTGGCCCATCCTCCCCACCTAGAGTCTGGCCGGGGCTCAGTTTCCAGACTGTGCTGTTGTGCTACGCCTCTGCTCTGAGGTGACTGGATCCTGTGCCGCTGTCTGTTGCTCTGACTGTTGCCTGGCCCTAATTCCTTACTACTGTGTACCCAGTTCCCCCTCTTTCACAGGGGTGATTTTGAATGATCTCTTGTGCCTCTTTCAAGACCAACAGTCTCTCAAGTAATGTGTCCTTTCCATTTATTTGTTATTCTGCAGTGGGAGAATACTAAGTACTTTAAGTACATAGATAGCCATTTTTGGAAGCATAAGTTTAGTAAGATATTTGTATTTTTCCCAGTTGTTGACTGAGAACTTCGAACTTTGGAAAAATATCCACTAAGCTGTGTTGTGAGTTATCCTTTGTCAAATCATCTTTTTTTCTCTTTACAATTAAAAAATAATCAACCCATATCACACAAATTCAGACCACTACCTTTCCCTGGTTCAGCCCATTCACCTATGAAGAAAAAAGCCAAGTTTCAAAGCCTTTTTCTCAGGTTATTATAAACTTGATGAGATACTCGTGCTTTATTATATAACCATTTCATGAGTGATATGATTGGCAGTGCCCGAATGTGAGCTGTCAGTCTGGGGCTTGTCTATGAGAGGCTTGATTTACTCTATCTGTGGACAATTCCATACAGTTTTTTCCCATTTAAAAATATACTTCTCAGAAAATTAATACTCTCTCATTCAAAGTTCTTAATATAGTATCAGTGTTCACTTTGCAAATGAAAATGTCCTAAAGGCATAGTAATTATAAATAAATCAATAAAAATGATGGAATCATTAACATTTCAGATTTCACCCACTTTTAAGGATGAAACAGGTAGGTCTCAGTTTTTTAAGTGGGTCTTTTGAGGCCACTATAA